TTTAAGAGAATTCAAGAGCATGTTAGTAACGATACCCAAGTGGTGTGGTAGATTAATTTCGTAAATTAAATCAAAATAAACTAAGCAGGCGTCTTGTTACATTCAGAGCGTAGCAAATAATACTATGCGCTAATACAGACATTTGAAATAACACTGGGCTTATATGTGCATATCTAAATTAAGGCATATCAATAGAGAATACCACATGCATGCATGGACGAGCGCGGAGTTATGAAATTTTTTTCAAGTGTTTAGGATGATTCTCACACCAATGATTCTCACACGAGTTTTCAGGAATATTTTTTTTGAAAAGCCATAGTTACTACTGAGAGATATCAAAGCAGCAAATATTGCCTCATAGTTACTGGTGATTTTTCAATTATGAAATTATTTTAAAAATCATATGACATGCATATATTATTTTTCACATTGCTCGGTTTTCTTTGTTCTTGTCGGGGAATATAATCATTAAGAAATTCTAAAAAGCATAGAAGCATATAAAAGAACTTACAAAAAGCATTTCAATTCTATCATTATACTATAAATGCAACCTCGGCAATATGAAAAAATAAGTATACGTTATTTTAAAGCACTTCGGGGATATGTGTTTATTCCCATCGTTGCCTCCAAATAACCTATATTTAAATCGATCCCATTTTCAATATTTTTGCCTGAGCATTCTAGTCCGCCTTAATTATCATGTAATTATTAATGACATACGTCATAATTGGAAGAAGTATATCCAGGATATCCTCTTTCACCTTGGTCACCCTGCATGAAAATTAAAGTTTAAGGTGAAGTAAAATTAACATAATTGATGTAATTATACACGTCTAATCTATAATTTAAAGATAATGAAATATACACAATTATTCGAGACTGAAAATGAGGGCACTGTGTTCCATTGCCCCAGAGTTTCCTGGATAAGACATGATTCAAAAGCCTAACGACGCAAACAAACAAAAAATAGATCCTCAAACAATAATGACCTGCGGTCCAGGCGAGCCACGATTCCCGTGTTCTCCCTGTACTATGGTAAGGCCAAAAACCTAAAGAGAAAAGGTTTGATGGGATTTAATTTTTCTCACCTTCTGAAAGGTAGGACGGAATTTTTGACCTGAAGATAGAGGTGTGTTGTCTATCTTTTGTCTCTCTAATAAATTTCAATAAATAAATTTCCAACTGGAATTGCAAATTGTAAGTGCTATGCTGCGGGTGAATACACGTAGTGCCTTTATCTCCTCCCATGCAATCACCTTCAGGATGAGCAATGAAAATATTGCGTGTTGAAAAACTTTGCTGATGCGAATTCTCTCCCGAGTTGGGATCGCACATAAGTAAGTGCGAATATATAAATAAAGATTACTTCATGGTTTGCGAGTGCGTACGATTTTTATGCACGAGTTGTGAAGGATCGCAAAACGAACGAGTGAGTTTGCGATCGTTCACAACCAGTTCATATAAAAAAATCGTACAAACGCGAGCCAACCATGAAGAAATTTCTTTATGAAATGTGTATAGAGATCAATTTGACAACGACACGCTTTAAATATACAAAAACACAGCAAGCAAAAAAATCGAAATTTCATGCATCAAAACATATTTATCACCGTTCAGTTTCTTTGTAATTCTGTTCAAAAGCAGTTAGATATTCTTTCCGAAAGATTTGAGAATGTGCTGAATGTGAAAATATCTTGAATATGAGAATTATGTTTTGAATCTCACTCCTATATTTCGACGCCATCTTGAAAGAAAATGTAAACAAATTGTCGCCAAAATGACATACGACAATTTTTCACGTGTGAAGAATATCGTACGTCCAATCAAAAGCCGTGTATGGCATTTTTTCACACGTGAAAAACCTAGTACGTCCAATCAACTTGCATGAAATTTATCTACACAGTGAAATACGATTTTTATTTCATCATTCTGCTTTGCATAAATCTCTATACACATATAATAAAGCAATAATTATATAATTATGCATTCGCATTGGATAAAACCGCAGTAATATGGTACGTGTGCTCAAAAAATCATCCTGACAAACAAAAATCGCTGAAATAAAGATGCACGTCAAGAATATAGGGCTGACATGAAGACATGAAAAACAAAAGCTCGGTATGTTATTGCATATTCATATATGCATGCTCTAATAAGCGTAAAAGCAATCACTATAATAGATGAAATTAGCCAAACATGAGATGAATATATGAATACTCCCCCCCCCCCCTAATAAAGGTTTTTGGTATAGCAGTGTTAAGAGCTATATACCGGAATGCTAGTGTTGTTTCGTATCAACCCGAGGTAATTACTGCAGCTCTAACTTGGTATGACATTGGTTGGGTTTTTTTAAAAGCATTTTTTTAAATTTTCAAAAGCAATAGCGTTGCTATTGGGGTATTTTTGAATTAAAGAATAAGCCGTGTAGTTCTCCTGCCTAAGCCTGGAGCCCTCACTGGGCTTGAATAATTCCAATTTGTTATTTTCGGACATCTTGTCAATACATTAAGATAACTTTAAGATAAGTACTTTAAAATAAATTTTGTCCCAGTTTTTCTAACGCTTATACTCTTCGCTGTTAAAAGGCAACTCACAGGGAACTATATAATACTGCCGCTTTCTCTATATCTGTGTGCATGTATTGAGCATACCTTGCTGCTTTTTATGCACACAACCGACTTGTTGACTCCTTCCAATTTTCTCACTGCTTGCCCGTCTGACGTAAAGACGCTTGAGAGAAAGATAAGAAATACAATCATCTTGAGAATGAAATTATTTTAACTCCACACTGATTGATCTTGCTGCTGGTTTCGGATAAATGTTCAATGAATCAGTTTAAATTACAAGTATATATCCATGGGAAGACATTTGCAAATTATTATAGTCTGCGATATGGAAATGTCAATGACCCTGTTGACAGCTTCTGCAGATCACCATGGACGCTCATGATCTAATTAATTTCACACAATGCAGGGTCAACGGGAATTTCACCTCGTTGTTTCCTGAGATATTTCAGCACGCATGGCCTTCCCTGGTTTTATTTGCTCATCCAATTAATAGGACTGAAACGTAGTTCAGGACTGCGTTCCCACGGGACCGGACGAATTTTGTACCGCGTGCTCAAATTCGTGCGATTTTCTCGTGTGAACACGCAGAACCGGCGATATTTTCATTTTTAACGCGTGAGCACTATATCTATCGGGCGAAGTCGTGCGTGGTTCTAAATTTGTCGTTTATTATCCCTTGTTTGAATTGCATTCGACGCGACTAAAATGCGATCGACGCATAAACTGTAGACCATACAAGATCTCCTTGCTACCTTGTCCTATTTTTTATCTGCTGGAAAATTAATTGGTCGAGGAAAGAGGAACGAGTAAAAAGGGACGAGTGTCGAGAGTTATAGTTTAATATAGTATTAAATTTAAAGTTAAAACTGAGTGGGCTGAGAAGTCAATCGAGGGCGAGCAGACACAGGATATTATAGCTGATTAAATAATTAAAAAGAGGTAAATTTCTTCCTATTTCACAAGCAGGTTTGTTTTCGAGAAACTAATCCTTTACTCGATCATTTTATATCAATTTGTTATAATCAGTTTGACGCACATTTCACTGTGTTCCCATTTTTACTTCCGATTCGTTAATTCTCTTATCTTAGCTCAGCTTACGGAACACCTCCTCAACTGTACTTTCGCTCTATGCTAAAATAATAATGACATTGATAAATAAAATAGAGATTAAAATATTGATAAGTATTAAGAATAATAATGTTCTTTAAGCACAAAGATGTTTCATCGAAGTAAAGTAATGATGAAGCAACAAGACCTTCGTGAGCAAGGAAGATGAAGGGTGTGATGTATATAGCAAAAAATTTGTTGTTAAAAAGCATTAGCATTTTATTCCATCTATATCTTCTAGAGTTCTAGTATTCTACCTTAATGTCAATGAAATGCAGCGTGATTAAGGAGATCGTGTATATTTTTTAGGCTATTTAGCCAAGGGCTGTTTTCCACTTGGCTTCACTTCACTTGCAAACATCTTTCTATTGTCGCACCTTAATTGTTACGTGCGGAAGAATTTAAATGCTTCCAAATGTTATCATTTAACAAAATAGTATTATTTAAAAAACGCGTCAACAAATCCATACTAAATATATATCGACAACTAAGTTGTTTTGATTTCTAAACCTAGATTTTTCAAATATGGCATATCATAAGGATTTGGAATTTTGCGTGCGCGTGTACGTGCGTATCAAAAACCCAACAATGAAAATTCATTTATGACAATGATATAAATTAATTAAGATTAAGACAAATCCATCAGTGTATGCAACCTAATATTGGTGATTCGAATTTATCATTGACGTCAACAAAGCAGGATATCCAAAAAAAGAGGATGTTTTTTGTACCTATCTATTAACAATTTTTTACGGTGGGTTGAGCCATTTGAAGGAAAATTTCTTCCCTTTTTTCTGGACTAAATTACAAGGCATGAATCCTAATGTACTAGTAATCCAATCGTCAATTCAGTATATATACAGGGGCCGTTTTGCCCGTTTATATAACGGTGGTTATTAGTTCAACTGAATAGAATGCGAGTCTATTGTTATATTCAACAATCGAACAACATGTTTTTAACCTTAAACCCTTAATACAAAAATTCTGTTTATATACAACTGGTCTACATATTCAGTTAATATAATAATCAAGCTCATGCACAGTGGCGTAGCCAGCCCGACAATTTAGTCATGCAATGCTAATATCTTGGTGTCCATTGACTGTGAAAACAATGAATTTCTAAAGAAATTAATAATGATAATAACATGAAATTTGCATAGCATGACTAAATCGTCAGGCTGGCTACGCCACTGCTCATGCAGTCACTCCGAAAAGAACAGAGATGTTTATTTTGACTTATCCACTGTTTAAGTCAACTGGCTCAACGGGCTCAACAGACCCCAGGACAACAACGCGGCTTCACTCTCTCGAGTTAATGAATGCTTGGATGAAGAGTTTTGTATAATTTTTTGTTACTCCAGGGAATTTAATGTGGTATAAGATGTTAAAAACTGCCGAGTCTCTGTTTGGGAGCAGCTCTAACGAGGCTAAGAAGCGTTCGTTGCGTCTTGAAATGCAAAATGTTGGGAAAAAGCACGAAAATCCAGCCTAATTTATCTGTGTAAAGCCTGTAGTGTTCCTATATTTATTTTATTAAAAGCGCCTGGGAACGAGGCTGATGAAAATCTGTGATCTGACGCGTTCTAAAACCCCCATTATTAATTTGTTCTCTCCCAAGTAATCACTTGATACTCATTTCTAATACTTTGAAAAATAAACAATTATTAGGTCAAGAATTATTCAGGCCAAAGTCAATGTTTTCTGTCCAAGTGAAGCTGATCCGAATAACATTGACCGAGGTCTAAATTATTACGTAAATATACAATATATAAATACAAAATATTGACATATGAGAATTAACCGGTGCTTTCTGACCAATCAAGAACAACAATACACACAAAATGCATAATAACAGACATTACAATTATTTGACGATTAATCAGAACAATGCATATAGTATGCATATGTTAACTAGATATAGTTACTAAATACAAAAATTTAATTCATATTTAATTCAATGTTTATCTATTCAGCATATATCTATATAGAGAAAAAAGTCCAGCCACTTTGAAAGTTTAAACTCCAGATGGTTTCACTAAAGGTTTCAAGGCGAATTCAGTTGTTCCGATCCACTTATTCTCTGTTGAGATCAAGCGCCAGTACTTAGCTGTGACTGGTGCAGAAAAATGGCGAGTGACCGTTCTGTTCCCAAATGGAGTCTTGATTTTAGCAATCTAGAAAAAGGATACATGTATATATGTTTTTGCATATGTTTTGTATATGTCAGTTGTATATTTTTTGTATATGTTTTGTGTAAGGGGGTTGATATATAATACCACTCCGCGAGCGAATGCCCTATGGGATCAAGGTTGATTATGTAACATTTTTGGGTTTTAGTTTATGAATTTCATTTTCTCAATAACGGTATTCAGATGTAGACGGCTCAAAACGCAAGCTAGCTACTTATGGAGCTCGCAGTATATTTCAGTTATATTCTACATCTGTGTTATGCACATCAACATAGTGAGCAATCGATGGCTATATCCCTTAGAACAACTCATTTACCTTTTCCCATTTTCGTTTATCCGAAAAATATTCCAAATCCATATAACCATAATCTTCTCTGATTTCATGACCCCAAGACGGTACAAATCCTCCGGCTAACGTGACCGAGGTGGCGTAGACAGGATGGAAATAGTTTGCTTGAATATAGTTCCCAGTCTTCGCTGTCTCGCTTCCCCAACCGCCAGTATCTGATCTACCATCAGTCAAATCACGTGATGTTACATGATAGAGATCGTCAAAGTAAGCGTTTTCCAAAACATAGTAGTCATTCAATAAAGACTTCAAGACCTCTTCTTTTATCTATATTGGAGTGGGAAGAATGTAGAATGTCAGATATTAAAACTGTATTCATCTTATAGCTATGATCTATTATGTGCCAACTCAAAGACATTACTTTGCAAACATGTGCAATTCTATATTGGTTTTAAAGAGCGTGGTCTCATTTTAGGCCAATCGTGAAAATTTTGCCGATTTTAGCTTTTTCGCCTGTTTAAATTCATTGACTATGAAAAATAGTTATGGGCAATACATCGAGGATATTCATAAGACAGCATGCTGCATGCATACATAACAATAGTGATAAGGTTATACGCAAGTCTTATCTTGAAAGTCTATGATGAACATGTTATATACTGGTTGTGATTTTGAATTTCGAGAGTAAATGCATGAAGAAAAAAATAGAATTTAAACAACTTCTCTACTTCACTACTAAATTTTAAAGTAATTTTACGAGCTAAAAAAAAAGTTCGTAAAGAAAGGTCTTTCAAGTTTTGCATAGTAGAATGAATGCTTCGCTTTCAAAAAATTCCACCTTGGGACCTGTTTCTCCAGGTGATCCACGGTCTCCCTACAAATATGAAAAGCAATATTGCAAACATAAATATCAACTAAATCACATGAATAGCCGGTCATTGAACAGAAGAAAATGCAGAATGCTTATGCTTGGTAGTATCATGCGCAGCAATGAGGCCAGACTAATGAAAGTTTAATCTTAAGTTTAAGTTTAAGTTTAAGTACTAATGATATCGCTTGTACTTGTACGATGTCCTATCAATTCGCATTACATTCATATAACGTTACCTCCATATCACATATCCATAAGCTCGTTTCGATTAAGGCGATTTTCTTCTGTTAATCGATGTGAACGAGTGAATTAGTTGCGATTATTATACATCAAAACTAATTACACGTTCACATTTAGCAAAAGAGGAAAATTGTATCGAAAATCTTAGCAAAAATCACGGGCCTAAAAATTGCGACGTGTTCTATTTGTGAGCATGCAGGTTATGTGGATTCTAGAACGTAATGGGTAATTTTTGAATTTAATTTTAAAAAAACATTCTGATCAATGTGTGAAATACTATATATGGTAAACAATGAACCCATGCTATTCACATCGCCGTATGATATTAAAATGGATTACATTCTTCCAACGTGCATTTGTGTGTCGTATCGACTTTCAAACCCGTCAAAATTTCTTTAATACTCATTATGCAATTTTCAAAACTATATTTTACCACACAATAGACACTATACCAAAAGTCTTACTCTTTGCATCCAGCCAATGTTTTCGTGTCCGAAATTTTTCAGAAGTGCATGCGTCTTTCTACGCAATGCTCTAAAAATTTCGGACGCCAAATGCAAAGAGTGAGACTTTTGGTATAATGTATATTCTGTGAATTTACCCTCTGGCCGTTGGTTCCTACATGTCCAGGATCACCCTAAATGAAGAAGAGCCGGTTAATTGTAACTGATATTGTAATTTCCTCAGAAGAAAAACGACTGGAGAACTAAGTACACACGTATGCACCGTAATTTATACTATAATAGACAATTATACAAAACAATATACTGAAAAACAATACTGATTGATTTTAAGCCATATATAGCTCGGATATTGCATCTTTTGTAATGGACAGATGATGTAATCACAGTTTAGTTAGTTGTGTCGAGAGGACGAGGTTACTGACGGGGTATTTACCCTAGGGCCAGAAAGGGTCCGGGCTGCACTTTGTTCAGGACAAAAGTGTCGCTGAAATATTACAATTACAGTGAAAATTTGAAGTTCAACGATGTTTACCTGCTCTCCAAACTCTCCGCTGGTTCCTGGCTCACCCTGTATAATATATTATTATAACTATTCATCATAGGAGAACACGCAAAATTAAATTTTTTAAGCTTAAAAAGGCTTTCAGTGCATTGCAATGGAATGGAAAAAATGAATATGCCTGCATGCAATTGTTGTATTAATTAGGGGACTTCACCACGGTAATATAAATGCGCATATACACCATTCAAATTATAGCTTGTAGAGTATTTGTTTTCATTCTGATTAATGGATTAGTGGATCTATTCCAGAGTGTGTTTAATCGAAATACGAGCTGGTTACTCGCTATGTCACGAATAAAATGGCCATATTTGTTCACGAACACGGTTGAAATATTTGTAGAAATTAATTATTATCATGATTTGGGTTGTCGTTGATTGTGGCGTTTGGTCACGCGGTTGACCGCACGCGTGATTTTGGAGGGCTTGCAAGTTGCACTGGCACTTGGATGTAAACTTTAGAAGGAAACGGACAATGCAGACACATGTCTATTTTGAGTTATAGTTTCTATATTTCAAATACATAACATCATATAAAAAGTTACGATTAGCTCAGCTTTTCACAATATCGATGCTTCGTGCAACAGGCAATCCGATATTATTAATGTTTATTGATTATCAACTTTTAAAAACATATTACCTTCATACCTCGCTTTTTGTTGTTGACGCCATCAAGGCCTGGAGCTCCCTGCAATGCGATATATATCGAAACACGAACTACTACTTATATAGGTGCTCTGTAATTTAAATGTGATTGGTTCATTCGAGTCACATGAAAAATGGTTTCCCGCATATTGTCATAAGAAAGTGTTTTTTTAAATGAAATTGTAGTGTGACATGTATGTTTTTGTTCCAATATAACAAAACACTTAATGTACACCACCTCAGGAAATATTGAGTTTTGGTTTTCCATCGAGTCGCAATGTTTCCCTCGATTTCGTCTCGGGAAAACATTCAGACTCTTCGGAAAACAAAACTCACCATTCAAACTCACTATTTCCTTCGGGAGCATACATTAAGTGTATATTATTTGTTGTTAACTATGCGATAACCTTTTGTATAATATAAATGCAAGATAATCAAATTTTATTCAGAGTCTATATAGCTATACTGAAAACGTTATAAAAATTAATTATAAGCGTTTCTTATAAAGTTTCCGAAAATTTTCTGGAAATACAGTGCAAACTACTGAAATCATATAACTCACAGTCATTCCAGGTTCTCCACGGTTCCCCTGAAATCAAGTTTATCAAAAAATCAGGTTAAAAATGAATATGAACCTGTGTTCAGGATTTATTATTGTTGCCAGTATAAGTTTCGAGTCCGGAGTAAAATCGTCCTCGAAATATGAATGTAAAATTTCGACTCTCGCTTTCTTTCAGCACATACATAGAGACAAAGACCAATAAAGAACACTACAGGTGAGATATGATGTATTGATGTTTTTGCAAACAAAATTCTTTCTTCATATATATTGCTTTGTCGGACATATCATTTTTTAGACTACAGAAAGGAGCATGAATGCATTATTTTGGAGGACATGCAACTATATCATACTGTGACGTAGCCGTACATGCAATATGTTTGTTCTGCACATATACCCTAGGGATTTATGATTCATATTCATAAGTTAATTTTTTTAAACCTAAGTAAATTTTCATCCCAACTGTATTTTGGTTTGACACTTTGGTTAAATTACTTCCTACCTTTCTTCCTTTACGCCCTGGTTCGCCATCTACACCCGGCCACCCTTCATTACCCTAAAAATATTTAAAGTCGTCCTTAGACATAATGTATGAACAACAAGCTATAAAGGGTGAGTAAAAAAAACTGATCTTTTTGAAATTCAAATTACCCGCATAGCGGCTGCAATATGACAGAAGATGCCTAAAATATCTCATGGGTATAATGTTCTTTGAAATCAGCCCTAATTATATAATCAGCTAAAATCAAATGACATGCAGCTAAACTCTTAAAACGACTTACTTGAGTTGGGGTAACATGATCACCAGGCTCACCTCGATTACCCTATAAAATGTAACACAAATGCGAAATGCTGATTTCCTCCTTCAAAGTAATATAAGCGACGATGACGAACGTAAGCGTTCGGATACCTCCGAGATGGTGCGACAAGTCATCGGACTCGTTCGCCGGCATCGCTGATACAGAGTTAGACAATATCACCTCCGATTCAGGTGATACACTCTGGTAATAAATTAGTCAACATACCTTCAATCCAGGCGGACCCGCTGGACCATCTCTTCCTTTTAAAGCGTTTAACATCTGCATTCATAAATAAAACAAAGTTTAACTGCACGTATTAAAAGCTTTTTGCTGGATTAATAATAATATATAATGACAAAGTTGTTTTTTTCAGAGAATGCCGTCGCAGCTGTTACATGTAAAATATGCAATTTTTAATCCGAATGCACAATCTGGTCTTAAACAAAATATAAGTCTTATAAAACAATACAAGTCTTATACAAAACTTCATTTCGTGATTAGAATCGGGGGTCATCAGAATCTACTTAAGATCAAAATCAATTAAAACCCATTTTGTGTCCTGCAAAACATATCTGCTGTATTTAAATTTAACCCGGTTATTTCGCAAACTTACCTAATCTAGCACATACAGTAAGTAAGCGTCATTTCAAAACCGGCTTCAGTTGCGTCTTGTGTTATACTATACAATAGCTGTTTGTTTATACAAACCTCATCCTCATTAACACAGACCACGCTGTCTTTTGATATATTTTCTGATACATGTTCTTTAAATGCTATTGCGAAAAAAAGAAACTGTACTGCAAGCTTCATGGCGGACGGAAACATTATTACTATGTACTCAGCATAAACTCGTTTAAACCCTTTTGTTTTGCACTCCAGCTAGTATCTGTTGGCGATAGGTAAGTCTGTTAAAAACCATTTTTCCGGATATAGGTGTTGGCATGATATCAATTAAGGTACAACAGGGGGTAATAAATCTTATTAGGCGAGTTATCAACAAAAGCCTGAATGGCTATGAAAAAGGGGAAGCTTTTCTGTCGTTGAAAACTGGATTGCACTTTCTCAATCGTTAACGAGGATTGAGGCTCGAGGAAACAATATAAACAATTTGGCAAAAGTATACCGATCGCGCACTGAATTTTTTCTTGCACCGCATGTATATAGCTTTGCATCGTATACTATACTTATACGCGCTTATGATTTTTGAAAAACAGCGTGGATCGATAGAGATAGGTGATCGATGAACCATCAAATATTTATGTCCTCGCTTTAACTATGAATCCACGACCGCGGTCATATTACTAACATTAATCAATCACCATGATCGATTACAGCAGCGATTATAATTTACCCAAAAAACTTCCTGTCTTATTTCTGTCTAATTTTTGAATGCGTTCACGCTGTCATCACCGGACACTGGGTCACCAGGGTCTTCTTGCACCTACAATATATTTAACCTAAACACCTCACTTAGCAATTTCAGCCCATCTCGACGATACTGTGGTGTTCTAGACTGAGATAATTATGAATGAAATTGTTTTCTTTCTTCTGTTATTGTCGATAACCAACGACGTTGCTGCGTCACGAAACAATGACAACACGACTGATCGGAAAACGATTTGTGCACAAAGAGCTGATGTGAGTATAAATAATATCTGCATGCGCCACTTTATCAAAGCTCGATTGTGTTAAACCTACATTTCAATTTGCTGTTTTGATGCATTTTTTCTCAAACATTTTTGAAAATAAGCGAACGGCTGACAGTCAAAAATTAAAGTGGTATCGGGGTTATTATTTTGGCGTTGAGCATTGGGGGCTCAAGGAATGGGTGAGAAATCTTACCTTCAGAAATTTTCCTGAACTAAATCATTTATTGCATGTAATATATATGCTAACAAATCAATTGTTAATATTTTCAATTCACCTAATAGTTTCTGGTCAATTGTCATGCTAATGTCAATATCACTTGTCAATTTTGTCTGGTTTATGTGGTCATATGTTGAAAAAAGATTCAAATTTGACCAGTTCTATTTGTTCACAAAGTCATTCAAATTTAGGTTGAATTTTGCATACTACCATTACATGTGCATTGCGCACATATTAATTGTTTTAAATTTTGAAATTAGCGTAACGATGATTTAAGGAACCTGTACAGTATGGTACAAAAATGGCTTTCGTATTTATAATTACCGGTATACCAAAAAGAACATTAGAGTTCCTTCGCTGTAATGTTGAAACTATCATTTTTAGCGCGTTTAAATGAAATTCAAATACCTGTAACCTAACTCTGGTCGAAGCCACTTTCCCAAAAGGCAGTGTTCCTGGTGGAAATTGCTTCCCAAAACAGTAATATTGTCGCATAATTGCTTTAATCGCTTCCCCATGTAAAACAAACAGTATTGTTGATCGTAATTGCTTTAATTGCTTCCCTATGCAAAACAGTATTGTTGATCTTAGTTACTTTAATCGCTTCCCAAGTAAAACAGTGTTTTTGATCGTAATTGCTTTAATTGCTTCAACATGCAAAACAGTATTGTTCATGGTACTTGCTTTAATTGCTTCTCCAAAACAGTATTGTTGATCGTAATTGCTTTAAATGCTTCCCCAAAACAGTATTGTTGATCGTAATTGCTTTAATTGCTTCCCCAGAACAGCTTTGTTGATCAAAATCGCTTCCCCAAAAAACAGTTTAATTTTGACGCAAATGGAATATGAAACCATAACTGACAGAAATGCTGTGGGTGACCCCAGAGTCTGAGCACGGAAAAAAGACCCTGGGTACGAGGCTGATACAGTCGTTAGATAAATATAAAAGATATTGAAATGTTATGCATGTACAAACAAAACTATGAAATTTAAAATTGATTTCGCTAAAGCAGGAATTTTATGCATATAGATTTATTGGCTTTGTCGTGCAGGAAAAACTACAGATAATCCTCCTAAAAATCTAGTTCTCCATAGAGTAATCTAATCACAGATGTTATTGTGCGAACGAAAGTTTAAAAGTTTTCATCTGGAAAGCGGTCACAATATATGGATATCTGACTAAAAATTTTTATTATATTAATATTATTAAATTTCAGTGAACATGCACAATTCAACGAGAACGAACGACTATGCCGTTATGTTAATAAGTGTTATGTTAATATAAAACAAAACACATTTGTACCAAACTGCTTGAACACATTTATAAAAACATAATTACAAAGATCTTAATTTTTGGATAATCAACATAATCTCGAAACAACCATTACACATTTGATGTTAGGGTTTCGGTTTATACATTTACGAGTAGCGATATTTTACTTAATGAATTTCTCTATAATTATTCACATGTTTAATCATGCAATTTTTGTTTGGTTCGACCTTTTACAAATAAATTGAATAGCAATGCCATAATTATGCTGTGTTTTCTTTGGGGATATTATACATTCATACGGTTTAAGTGTTTTCAAAACAACACGTACAATTGTTTTCTGAGATGGATGACTTAGGCCTAGACTTAGACGTCGCATTTTAGTCGCGTCGAATGCAATTCAAACAATAGGATAATGAGATGATAAACCTGATTAAGCTTCATTATCATCTCATTATCTATTGTTTGAATTGCATTGACGCGACTAAAAAGCGACGTCTAACACAGAACTTAGAAGCAACCGCGACTGCTTTGCACTTGATGACTTGTTGACAGTTTTATTCAATATTTTATTTTCTGTATACTTACCTGCGATTAGAGCAATTATTGAAATATCGGAAGAAAACCACATGATATTGAACGATGCGATAAACCCTTTGTTCCAATCATCCGCCTTGTTAATTGAGAGTTTCAACAAATTGGTAGCCCTTGCGGCCTTAAAATTACACTCCTTTCTTCGTTTCCTAACCTTACAACTTGACGAGAAGGCATTGTCCTCAGCAAAGTCAAAGCTGTTAATTTGCAGAATATTTTAAAAGCATTTAATTACATAGCAAGCAAAGGGCTATACACAACTCTCCAGAGTGGATTGCTTAAAAATATACTGCAATTGATATCATCTTGGTAATTGACACGCTAACTGTTCAACTTTTCTGTAGACAAATCGTCTGGATTTGAAGTCTTATTTCGGTTCCTTGTCAGTGAATTGTTTATGCTAATCGGCGTGGAACGGAATAAAATGGATCACATTCGTCTAATGCTTGTTGAAAATTCATATTTAAGGTCTCATCTAGTATAGCCACGCGAGTTTAAACGAGTGCAGACAACTGAGTCGCTCGGTTAAACTGAAGAGGCTACTCGTTCTTTCTCGTTGAATTGTGCATGTTCACTAATAAAATATGAGATTTTAAAGAATATAAATGTTGTTTTTAAGCTACATTCTTGTTTCTAACAGACACTTAAACTATTGTATGGACACGATGGCCAACCTGGTGTGCCAGGAGCAAAGGTACGTGAAATAAGCTTATATAGTGTTAATTTCAATGCGACTCTTCAAGTTACGAAGTGCATTTTCTTTGATCTATATGTATGACTTCACCTTATTCACTTAGGGTGAGCCAGGCCCAAAAGGCTATGCTGGAATTGTATTCTTTAAGGTACGCGAGAGAGGAAGTAAACAATTTTGGGGTGATAAGAAATAGAGAGGAATTTAATACTTGTGACATAACCGGGCACGTAAGCAGTCGAGGGAAGGTAAAATTTTGCAACTATCAAGCTGCCAAAATGATTGTTGAAACTTCTGGACTCTGGTCTCCGATTTGTCGAGCGACTCCGGCGTATTACGTGATGACTACTAAAGAGAAATTTTAAAATCATGGCAAGTTTTGTCGTGGTTCTCATTCAGCGACAGCCACTCAGCCTGAGAAAATATTTAATTAAGGCGTTTGATTTTTAAAAATGGCGAGCTAAGTTTTTCCTCAGCTCGCCCACACTAGTAATTATTCTGGCGGTGTTTGTTCAGCTAGGACATCGATCCAGCTGCTGCATGTCAGGTCTGTGTTAGACGTCGCATTTTAGTCGCGTCGAATGCAATTCAAACAAAAGATAACGAGATGATAAACCTCTTTAAACTTCATTATTATCTCATTATCTATTGTTTGAATTGCATTCGACGCGACTAAAATGAGACGTCTAACACAGGCCTCGATGTTATCAAAACCGTCTTACTGATGAAAATTTGGGGCTTTTTATTCAATTGTTTCTGGTGTTTGGCAGAATAATAAATACGCTGAAATGTGATATTGCTTATCCAACCACCCTTTTTATTTAATTAGGTATTATTTTGTGGCGCGATTAAGTCACAATGCGATAACTTTAGATTCAAGCAATGCATTTATTTCAGGGTCCCCGCGGACCTCCTGGAGGAAGAGGTACACCGGGATAGAATGGTATGCAGGTAGGATAATCAAAATTCATAATATTTAATCATCCTAAATACACCTATTGCGTTTCTAAATACTCCTATTATTCTCCTTAATATAGTATTCCTATTATTCTCCTAAATACACAGCTATTACCTCCTAGATACTCCTTTCATTCTCCTAAATACTTCTATTATTCTACTAAAAAATCTGAATAAAAAATATATAAACCAAGGATGAGGAAAATTAAAAGCTTAAATTGAATGCCACAATGTAACTAATACGAATCTATAATGTACACTATTTACACACACGTGCGTTAGCTATAATACTGAATGTATTCAAATTCCAACTTTTCCTTTATTTCAATAGGGGATATCATTTCGAGAGATATACCCTGTATATATTTCGAAGTTTCTCTCGAAAATTAAGAAAAATTGCTTATAACTTATATAATTAACTTTCAATAAAATGAATAAAAAACTGTTTGTAAAAGTTCTATTTGCAAAATCCCATGCTAAAAAATGACTGGTTCAAAGTTTAGTTGGAATTAAAAAGTTTCAAATTATGATAGGTGAACGAACGTCAGATTTGTAAACAAAGCATGTGCGGTGCTAATAGCACTCAAATTTGCCAGGAATGGTTCGTAATGAAACTATATGATTAAAGCAATTCAAAGCAAGCAGTAATTTTTAATTGATAGTATTTAACGTTAACACGAGGTCACTTAGATATAGTAAACTAAATTTATTAGCTATTATTGATTGACTTTTTTTAAAAATTGTTGTAAGCAAGATTGGAGAAATGGTCATGATTCTAACTAAATTTTCCTTGTGAATACCTTCATTTATACAGTTTTTCTATTTTTTTTCAGGGAATGAAAGGAGATCCTGGTGAACCGGTTTGTTTTGTTAAACAGTTTTTGCTCAATAATGTATAATAACTGGACGCCGCATGCGCATTAAATGATTCATGAGTATGATCCCCCTGATAAGAGATTTAGGTGGTGTCTATTCATGTTTTCGCTTAATGCCCGAATTATTTCAATAGCGATAGTTTTTACTCTTATTTTAACAAGAATATATGAATATGCACTCCCTCCCAATCAAGCTTCTAGCGACGGGCTGCATGGTCTGAGTTGATCTATCAATATATTACATGCAGAATTAAAATACAATAAAGCTCATTTAGATACGCACAAGAGAATTTTGTCGAAATGGTAGAGGTCCTAGTAATATCCAAGCCTATAAGAATCTCTGCAGTCGAAATTTCTTTGCCACTGCTGCTGGTCTTTTTATGTACTTTGCTCATGTATTACTGTTATTTAAAAGCGATTTTCTACGGAATGTTCACGAAACTGATTAAGTTGCCTGCTAGCATGTCATCATCAAGACAATTTCTATTTTAAAATAGTTATGATATAGCTACTCACTTCATATATAAACTATTCTCAGTATTCTGTCATCTGATTGATCGAGAGTGGCAAAAACAAAATGGCGGACAATTTTTCTCAGGAGTCAGGACTGATGAAGAAAAATTAATACACCAAAAATCTATTAACTACATATATATACATAGACTGTTAGTTTTTCTTACATTACATTTTTTACCTTAAAAGTAGTGAATAAATTTTCTATTAGGACAAAAAGCAAATGAATTTAGTTTTTCAATTAAAAAACTTGACTAAATAGCGAAAGAAAAGTTTCCTATTTTTTCCTCTTAATTTCCAGGGAGTGCCAGGTGTTAACGGTAGGGACGGTTTGACTGGTGAAATGGTAAGCTTAGTATAAATATGCGAGTTAGGTCAAAAAATCGTTTCCTATTAACAATCATCTAGTAATCCATTACCGTATTCTTTTTCAAGAAGAATAATGGCGGGCTATTTACATCACCGAGTAATATGTGTTCTAATCACATTATAGGGTGACTGGGGTTTCTCTGGTCCACCTGGAAATAAGGTAGAATAACCATTATAATCATGCAAAGAAAATTCAACAAAAAACATACGGAAATAACGGAATGCATTGAACAAGTCATAAACGGTTACCGTACCCTTAAACCGCACATTATCCTAATTTTCTTGCATATTTAGCAATATATAAGTAAACGACCACATTTATTGATTGATTATCACACATGCACATGTTACAAAACATTGTTTTTCATATTTCAATTTTAATGTAGTGAAAATTCAATGTTTTGTTTTGCGCCATGCATGCCAGTTTTACTCAGACATTTTCTCTATTCCAGTGCAGATTTGATTATACGGTAATTTTTGTATAACATCATGGAATATTATATGTGAATGTTACTGAATCTAATGTTTTCAACCCAAATCATCATAATAGGGGGGCAGAGGACAAAAGGGAAGAAAAGGTGATAAGGCAAAGAAGGTTTACGTATTTGGTAACATACTGAAAGAAAATTTCTTTTTTGGTTAACATCGATATTTATTTTTGAGGGTCAAAAAGGAAGTAAAGGAAAGGCCGGCGCTAAGGTAAACTGATTATCAGAAAAGTAGAACGTAGGTTCTGTATTTCCCTATCAATGTTTTTGTATCGTCTAGTACTGACTAATGCAGATACATTCCAATATAACTAAGAGGCAGCGTAATTTCAGCTTTTGGCCACACCCAGGGTTGCCAATTTCGTTTGGCCGAGAACAGATTTAATTATTCGCTTTCCAAAAATGGCCTTAGCCTAACTTTTCAGGGGGGGGGGGAGAGGCGTTCGCTTATGTCTTCACATCCAGAGGTGTTTGTTGCCAGACATGAATATATATAAACTATAAGTATATTCCGTATAATTATGGAAATATTATTTGGTTTCAGATGGAACAGGAAATGGAGGTATACACACTTAATGGCTACTTCGTGTCCCAGAGTGGTTACTACAACAATCGCTATCACGTTACATCACGTGTTCTAACTGACGGAAGATCAGACACCGGTGGTTGGGGCAGCGAGTCAGAAAATGCTGGCAACTATATTCAAGCAACTTATATTCGCCCTGTTTACGTCACGTCATTAACAGTAGCTGGAGGTTTCATATCATCTTGGGGTCATGATGTGAAGCCAGAATACGCGGACCTGGACTTCGAATATTCTTTCGATGGCAAAAGTTGGTTAAAGGTAGTGGTTTTACTTTGTTTGAAGAGAAAATAAAGCGGTTGAATTAGGAATATTGTTCGGACCATTCATAAAGAGGCATATAGTGTACACGAGGCTACTACATTCTTCTGCTTTATTCGCGAAATTGTAAATACACAACCGGTGAGACGACAGATTCTGCTAAAATTGCAAATTAAGCTAAATTACAATCGTAAAAGTAAAATTTTTCACCCATTTTTAATTTTTTGGCTTAAATACGGCGCTAATGGCAGTCAGAAAAAACTAGAAAATTTGAAAAAGGCTGTTTCTGTCTTTTTAACGAATTAATACACAAAATAATGTACGTTCTTTCCTTTTCCTAGGCACGAACTGTTCCTGCACCTGTGCAAAATGCTGAGATGATATTTTACGACTTGCCTCAGCCAGTCACTGCCAAGTATTGGCGTCTCAGATCAACTGAAAACAAATGGGCTGGAACAACTGAATTTTCTTTGAAACCTTTGATTAGACAATAAGTCTAAGTCGCCTTTACGAAATTATAACACAATCAGCATTTTTTTGTAATCTTTTCAATTTATTTTTTCATGAGTTTCTTGATTTTTTCAAGTTACAATTTTATATCTATTTGTTTCGTGAAATGTTCTGCCTGGGTATTTTGATAAATATTTGAATTTATCATGAGATTGGCATATCAAACCAGGTTTTCTAAATAGATATCAAACCAAGCCTATCAAACCAAGTTCGCTAGAGTGTATCGCCTTCGTGGGTCAATCTCAGTCAATTTTGTTTCCCAAGCCCGCGATTTCCTCTGGCGAAGAAATAAAGGAACATTTCTGATTTTGATTATCCTCATGCTTTTATCCCAAAACGAGTTTTCCCAAGTAGAGGGAGGGACTGGTGTGGAGTTATCGTATACAGGAACTCGGACTCAAATATATTCACCGGCCTCCAAGAATTAGAAACGTCTCAAAAATACTCCACCCTTGTTTTGTTAATATTTACTTTATTCCGGTCAACATATTCCATCATCGGTCAGTAATCCCTATTTCACTGTTTACATTATCACCACATCGCTGCAATTATTGTTTTCAATTTAGGATTTTAGGAGTAAAGATCAGTCGGCTAGGAAAAATTTGTTCCATTGTGGTAGCATTACCAGTTTTGCTCGATTTTTAAACTTGATCACACAACAAAGCTCGGTGTTTGCTTTAGTAGGTAGGAGTGTAGGACGAAACCTTCAATACTATAATTGACCAAAATTTAAGTACCCTAAGTCAGTCTCAGAGACTTTGTCGCCTTAATCCAAAGTCACTGCCCTTAATGGACCTTATAGCCAACCCAAAGATGCATTATTTACAGTATATTATACAAGATTCACAGTAGAATAATGCAAAGTTTTGTTCAGTAACATACGTACCATTGCACTCAGTTCACGAAGAGACAAAGCAATACGAGAAGAAAAAACGAACTGAAGCATATCATTTTGCGTTGTTCTGCTTTCACACACGAGAAAAAAAGTGGAATGCAATGAAAAGAGTAAAATTATGCTAAATTCAATTCTGCAGAAGAAAGTACATTTTCATTTCGGTAAAAGATCGAATTTTCCATTTAACTCGGCTTTGCTATTTAATCTTTCACTGCATGAAAAACATTCATTATTAGTATAATTATATCTCACCTTCACGACACATTCCGAATAACTTAAGTCATTATAGTGTTCAGCGTTTATTTTTCCATCAGTCGGTAAAGATTCTACAAAATACCATCACCGATTGCTTCGTCAAAAATATTACTTGAGATGTGTTCGTGAAAATTTGGGTGCATGCGCATTTCTTCTTTTTATAGTTTATACGAGTGAACATTTGTTCAGGTCAATCTTGAGTTCTAAATATTTCTCCGCCATACCGTAGCTACTAAATCGAGATTGTTGTGACGTGATACAACTTCAAAAAAGTATCGTAGCTAGAGATTTGCCCAGCGGAAAACGGATTCTTATTATAAATATGAGAGTCCAACATATAACATTTAAGAAAGCCATCAAAACAATTTGAAGTTTAAAAGTAAATATATTTGTAACGTTTCGTCTTTAACCTAAGACATCTTCAGACAAGTGATATAAAATTACATGAGATTTGAATATATATAATCTATTTACATACGTAAATTAATGACGGATAGGAAGGTATAAGATAGTACATGACAAAACCGCACAGACGAAGGGACATAAACACAATACAAAAACTATGAAAACACGTTACAGAAGATTAAGTGGGATTGAACTGCCCTGAATGTTAAGTGAGGGTTTGAGTTTGGAGATGAGGAGGCTTTCATGAATCATGAGTTCATGTTTGTAAGAGCATGAAGAAATAATTTTAAAATCATCAAAGTCGGCACAGTGCCCTGCAGTGGTTATGTGGGAGAAGATGCTGGACAAAACTGGACTGGTTTACACCGGTTTTCCAGTTATAGGGGAAATTCTCAAGTGTTCCGATACTCTGGTGTGTAGACGACGTGTGGTTTGACCCACGTACGATGCGGAACAGCATCGACACTTGAAAAGGTATACAACACCAGATCTCAGAAACTTGCGAACTTTATCCTTAAATGGAAAAAAGGAAGAAATACGTGTGGTGGAGCGAAAAACAAAGCGAATATTGAGATGCGGATAAGCAGCATTACAAAGTCGAGTAATTTAATTGCGAATCCGGCTGAAGCGAGTGGGAACCAGTGAAGGGAAAGGCAAAAGGTAAAAATAGACCATTTTCTTTGAAACTGTTTTTCTTTGAAACTGTGTGAATAAGTGGTTTTGGCTCAAAGGTATTGTTAAGGAAGCGACGAACTAATTCGTCAAACATATGAGCCGGGCAACTACTCAGGTTGAACAAATTCCTGACAACCTCAAGTTGGATATGAAAATTAAGCAAGAACCAATCAATACACACTAAAAAAAGGTGTGTTAAATTTACACACCTTTTTTGTCCAAATTTTAACACACCTAAAGGTGGGTTTTGAAACACACCTAAAGGTGTGTTTAACACACCATAAGGTGTGCAAAAAGCATCTTCAAAGGTGTGTTAACACATAGCAAGGTGTGTTTTTGTGCACACCAAAAGGTGTGTAGAACACACTAAAAGGTGTGTCAAAAAACACACCAAAAGATGTGTTTTTGGCTTGTCCAAATTTTAACACGTTCCAAGGTGTGTTTTCAAAGAAGGTGTGTTTTCATACACACCATGGTGTGTTTCATTACACAGCTAAATTAAGCTGTGCTGGAGAACACACAAATTGTTTAAGTAAAAAGTTGCACACCTTTCCTAAAAGTAACATATAAACAGGGCTAGAAAACACACAAACACAATATTAATTTATAAATATATTTTAAGTTCCAATACTATTAAGAATTAACATGAAGTCACAGTAATGAATTATATAAATATCTTGAAGCATGCAGTTTAGTTTAAAATAATGTCTTACTCTATAAACAGTTTATTGACTTGATGTCGTCTCGACTTGACACTTGTGGTGTTTTTTGTCTTGTTGGTCACCCTTGTTCTTGTTTGTTGGAGTGTATGGTGCCTGCTCAACTGTTGCAATAACATCATCGCCTTAATTCATGATCTTCATAATGAACAAAGATCACCTGAAAATATAAAATAAATGCATAAGAGGATCTGGTATTTAGAATTTTCCAATTTAAGATGTGCACAAGCATCTGTTAATTAATAGAACATGCTAAATGATACCCAATTTATGAGTTAAGATTTATTTTTGGTAAAAGAATTTAGGATGTATTGTCAGGTATAGGCAGGTATAATTACATGAATTATAACCTTCTGTTGAAATTTGAAAAATTGGGGTCTGGGCACATTTCCTATAGTTTCTTTAAAATGGGAAAGTTTTATTTAAATATGTATATATAGTTATCTTTCAGGATAAGTAGTCAAGTCTGTAGTATTAAAAATCATAAACCATTCTGGAACACTCAAGTCAAATAAACTATCTAATATTTACAACATTTAGAAAGCAAATGCAGTATAGTGAGGACAAAAATTGGTCCTTTGGAATGTTACTAACCCCCAAAAGGAATACAAAATATTAAACATAAATTAAGACACAAAACAATTCATCAAGATTACACCTAGCGAATTATATGCTTTCTTTATACCAAGCATAAACTATGGCATAAACAGCCTTATGTATACACCGATATACGTGTAAATCTCCTTCTAAAAGCACCTAGAACAATTAAATTTTGAAAGATAAAACGTAACACTCACCAAGTCTCTCTTGTGCTGTCGAATCTGTTCGCGTCGCCATGCGCTTCGGTGGTCTCCTAATTATTAGAATGAAGCAGACTTTTCACTTTCAAGCTATTCGGGACCTTCGAAGTCTTGAATTTCTTTGCATCGTTTGTAACGGAACCATCAATTTATTCGCTACAAATAGATAGAGACAACCATATTGATTACAGTCATTACACTCGTTGGTCATATTGAAATTGATACAAATGTTTGACACAAACGATTCGAAAAGCACTGCAATACAACTTACCCTCTTATAATTTCTTCTTTATACAACATCATATGCTCTCGTGTGTTCATCTCCAAAAAAATCTTAAAATCGCCTTCACAATAAACATAATTTAAACTTGTAACAGACTCGAAGCACAGTTGTCACAGTAGAGAAGGAAATGTAAAACTAAACAGTGGTTTGTATTTCGTGCGCGTGGGTTTCACACCTCGCGACATTCTTATTGGTTAAAAGCGTATGACGTATCAGATCACTGACCTGTATATACAAGTCTGTATGCAGATATTCAAAAACAACCCACGTTAATCATTCTTATTACAAAAGTAAACCACAACGATCTGTAAATTCCCTTAAATCTATGTCTTATATAATGTTTAGAGTTTTTAATACTGATCAAAGCTGAAACGCAGGCCAAAGATAACAGGAATTTAAAGAAAAAAGTTAAATTTAAATGCAATGGAACAGCGTGAAATTTCCTGTGACTTGTGTAATTTCTCGTAAGGCTGACGCTTTTATCGACGCACTAAAATACTATAGGTAATAAATAAGGCCAATCAAGCATATTGTTAATAATTTAAAGGTGTGTTTTATAACACATCAAAAGAGGTGTTTCTTGGATAGGTCAAGGTGTGCTGTCAAACACACAAAGGTGTGTTTTCAGTGAAAAGGTGTGTTACTTTACACACCTTAATGAGTAAAAGAAAAGGTGTGCAAAAGGAGGTGTTTTCGCTAACACACAAAGGTGTGTTTTCGAACACACGAATGTGTGTTTGCGTACACACAAAGGTGTGTTTCCTTACACACCAAGGTGTGCTTTCTAAAAGCGCGTAGAAAGGTGTGCAGAAATTACACACCATGGCGTGCAATTGAGCACACCTTGGTGTGTAGTCAAACACACCTTGGTGTGTAATTCTACACACCTGTTTTTTGTGTGTATACCCATTCCGGTTTTTCCCTGATTCGATCAAAGTTAAGTTAAAAGATATAGCATACTCCGGTTTCCGCAGTTCGTTCCCTTTGGGA